AATATTTTATATTTTTTTTTATAAAAAAATAAATAAATAAATATTTCAAAAAACTATTACACTTTTCTCATTTACTTAAACTTGTTTTATTTTACTATGGAAATTTGACCGTAAGATTTCAAGTCTGAAATTGCCTGGTACGTAATGGGTTAACAGAAAATTCTTAAGGTGTTGGCAACAATACCAGCCCTGCTGTTTTGACCTGTGTCTGCATGTCTGTTTACGTAAAAATCTTGAAATCATGTATAAAAATAATGTACATAGCAATAATTATCTGAAAATATTTGCTTCTAATCCTATTTACTTTCAGGTAATATCATTGATCGCAAGGTCCTACTCAAAAAAGCATTTAAAACGGCCTAAAATTATTAACAAAGCTGTAGAAGATGTCGGTAAATCTCTGTCAAATAAAGGGTAACATAAATCGCTTTTTAACATTTATTAAAATTTTATAAGAGTATTAAATACAATTACAGTTTTTTGAGATCACATAAACCGTATGATGCACCAGCAGATGCTGTGGAAAAAGTTCATTCGATATGTTCAACTCTTCAAATACCTAACAAGAATGAGTATAAATTAAATAACCTAGAGGAGAAATTCAAGTTTTTAGAGGCGTGCTTTGCAAGTTTTAATCACGGAGTACCCAATTCACAAGTACATGAAGTACAAACTATTGGTAGCTTAAATAATATTGTTATAAAATCGTTATTTTTATTTATCATTTTTTCTAAATATAAGGTGATGTGGTAGATTTCTATCAGAGGTCAGTGAACACAACTGTGCCGTATGAAGCATTCAAGAATATGGAACTTCCAGAGAATCTACATATACAATATGAGTATCTCCGCTTTCATCCGGATACTGATACCAAATTTGGAGGCAAATCTGCTTTTCCAAAAAGTTCAACTTTAGTTACGGGAATTAAATATCGTGAAAAATATGCTGGACATATAGCAAAGAGATCATGGCCCTAGAATATTGAAATAAAAATTAACGTATTTGCGCTAATACTGTAATTGCATGTGTCAGTTGCTTTTTATTAATTACAAATTATAGTTATACAGTTCTACTTTATTATCATCTTATTAACCTAAAACTTCATGTGCGTTTCTATAGTACCAACTAAACTAGAATCCATTAAGGAATCAAGTGCCTTTTGTACTCTTTCATCCTTTAGTAATTCCATTACACGGAAATCGTCTTTTATAGATTGTAATGTAGGATAGAGAAGTTCATAGTGCGTCTCGGCAACCGATGGTTTATTTAATATATCTAAAATCTTTTTTTGGAGTTCAATTTCTGGATCAGGAATTGATTCCACGGTCTCGCCTAGTTCAGCTTTCAATTGTAAGGTTCGTCTTTCATTTAGATATTTTATAATACGTTCATATTGCAGACCAGTAAGTGGCAAATTATCTGCGAGCAAATTTAACAAAATTTGTATAGATTCTGGATGTCTATCTTTCAGTGGTGGAGCGATTACATTAGTAGCAGGTATAATAGGTACAGGCTGAGGAAGGTGACTTGAGTTTAATCGTTTCGATGACTCGACAGCCATTTTGTTTTGAAAATCTTTCCCAATTAGTTTCAATGCATCATCCACCGGCATGTTGCGGTGTTCAGCGGGTTGTCCATACAGTATATTAACAGTAATGCTATTATGTTCTTCATGCTGATTTGTCACCAAAATTGCATAAAGGCAACCACGGGAAGATATATTTGCTAGAACCTTACCAAGTGGAACATCTTCGTTAGGATACAGAACATCAACCCGAAGTTGCATACGTTTCAAACGGTCTTCAATATATTCGGCATATTTTCTACATATATAAATATATATAACAAATGCGCATGTAGAATACAACTGATATATTATAAATAATTAAACTTACGTGTTACGACGATCAACAACAATGATTTCACAATCGTTATAATCCGGATGCTGTACTTTATTGTCCTCATATCGAACCGCTGATGCCGCCGTTTGTGCATTTGCTGGTTGTACTTTCTTGGCGCCGGCGTTACGAACCGTAATGACATTACCTTTAAATGTTGATTTCGTAAGTGAAAATGCAACTTTATTGGCAATTTCTTCAGACTCAAATTGAACAAAACCAAAATTTTTTTGCACTAAACTGCCCAGTACCTTTCCATAAGGGTGGCAAATACTCTCCAATTCTTCTTTGGTACATGATGGTAGATTTCCCAAAAATATACGATTTTTCGCGAAATTCGGATCACGTATAAGTTGAGGTTTATTGGTATCAGCTTCAGCCATCGTTAAGTTTTTTTTATTATAGTGTTAACGAAATTTAATATATTAACAAACTCTTGTTTACTAAATCGAGAATCGCTTATCACTAATGTCAAATTTAATAAAATTGCAAGGTTACTAAAAAAAACTCAGGGTTGTAATAAATCGTACTTGCGGTAAAACAATGTATTCTATTACTTTGCAGATACAATACGATGGTAAAAAAACGAGATTAGAGAAATTTCAATTTTTAAAAGACTCGGTGAATATATAGTAAAAATATATAAATTATGATATTGCCTTAATGTATTTTTAATCACACAGTATATATACCGGAACACTATCGTATGAGGGTATAAATATATATAATATAAACATAATATGTTTCATATATATACATAATAAATAATATGTATAACGGTAAATTTTACTTTTTTTTATGAAAGAGGTTTTTCGAACAATAGTGAACTACAACAACAAAAATTTATTTTTTTATATTATTTTAATTAATTGAATTTTTGTCTGACGATACCATTTTTTTATTAGAGGTTTTTCGAACAATAGTGAACTACAACAACAAAAATTTATTTTTTTATATTATTTTAATTAATAGAATTTTTAGCTGACCATACAGCTGTTTCGAGTATTGCCAAATACCCATCATCAGTGGTCTTGGAAATAATTCTTGTATTTAATTATTCGTAAATAATTATTTTTGAGACTGCAAATCGAACTCGGGTCCTGCTAAATGTGAAGCTCAGAATCAGCGCGCCTTAACCAACTGATCCAAAGCCGTACTTGATTTTTTTTTTGTATTGAAAAAGAAGTGAGAAGGTGCTTTCAGAATAATATATTATTAAATATGAAATTTGTTGATATCAAACTATCAGCAATTTATGCAAAAATAATCGTGTAAGTTAAATTGCAATTTATATTAAATCAAAATATACGTTAAATGCATTTTTTTTGTAAATTATATTTTTTAAATTGAACCATTTTTTTAAAAGAGCACAATACTCCGTATTCAACACAAAAACTATACCACATACTGTTTATGCGATAGAAATATATAAATAAAGTGTATATATATATATATACTTTTTATTAATTTATGGATTAATTTCAAACAATTACTGCCTGATTTTATATAATCAATGTACCTTATTTATTAATGCATCGCAAATCTAAAAAACTATTCGTAAAAGCATTTATTTCTGCTTTTTTGTTATTCATTTTTTATTTCCATTTCGTAACATAATATATTTAAAACAATTTGTGTTAAATTTGCAGAACGTGAACAAAATAACAAATTTTGACATTTTGTTAATTCTATTAAAATGACTAGTTTGAACACCTATTTTGGTTAATTGCAATACTTTATTATATTAAATTGCACAGGATGTCCATGCATCGTTGCATGTGCAAAATTATTTGATTTTATACAAACAATTCTTTTCTTATGATTCTGCGCTTGATTTGCAAGACAAATTGAAGACCATATTTTCAACACTAACCAGTTCTTGCATATTTGTTTTTTAATACTCTATTGTGAATGTTACTACTATTTTTACTGTTTGCTGGCCAATACTTTAGCGTTTAACGTTTAACTTAACTTTAGCGTTAAGTTTTGTTTGAATTTGAAATTTTGTGATTTAGTGCAATTGTTTGATTTTGTATTTATTTTAATTTATGGATTGTATTTATTTTTTTTTGGCATTGTTAAAATACCCCTATGATAAAGAACACTTTTGTTTTATTTTGTACCAACATTTCATTCATTGTTCAAAACTATTCACAATAACATACGTTTGTACTGCACTACTGTACTTGTTTTACTGACAAAATCAAGTTATAGCTCGTAATAATCTAGACCGATACTAAAAGAATTTTATATATATCGGAGGGGGTGGTAAATAGTTGTGCTTTCTATATATCAATATTAGAAAATTGTGCATTTATTAATTTTGCAATGTGCGTCGTAATCGATATATTAAGGTTCATCCACACCAAAGCGAACGCTTGTGAACGAACGAACATTCGTAAGTAATCATACCTGAAATGTCACGATGTTATTGAACTGCATAAATTTCTATGTTTTCATTCAGACTATGTTATTAATAAGTCACTGTCAACACTG